CTGAAGCACCTGATACGATGTGATTGTGGTTTCAGAATTGCATCGATACGCTACCGCAGACAATAAGTAGACAAACAGTATCACAATCACGCGAAACTATCAGAAATTAGTTATTTCATTCCATTGAACGCAAACTAAACTTTAGAGCTGCGACAGGGATTTCGAAGAAAACTCTCAACCGACAGTTCTGTTGATCCGGACTGATGGGTGTGATCAGTCGACTTTGACGAAAACGATTTTAAAACGCAAAAGATTCGAGGTTTTAATCAAACCAAACTGAACTCACTTTATCTAACACTGGAATCAATTTTTGATTTGGTGACTGTCTACTACCACATTAAGCAGGAGCAACAACAAAATATCAAAGACACCGGTAGAAACAGGTTTCTATCTCGTCACCAATTCAAATGTTTTACATACATTTGAACGTGATTACGCAACCATCTATATCGTTATTACATAAATACGGTTACGTGACTCAGCGACTGAGCTTACCGCATATTCTTTTCTCTTTCTCAAAATACTTCCTTCTATCGAATATACAATGCTACAACTTTCAGGAAGGGGGAAGCGGACAATCAAAGGGCTGTCCTGCAACACACAATGAGGAAACTTAGGCGATGGTGGGACTGAAACAAATGTCCTCCGGGATAAGAATTTGGGAACCTTTACCACCGGGCCAGTACCGCCCTAATTGGGTCCAATGCGGAATCATCATAAAGAACGTTAAGTTGTCAACGGAGATTAGTTAAACACGCAGGACTTCTGCGTTAAGAATCACGAGGCCTTTGAAGACAACGCATGACTAGACTGATTAATAGATGTTATTTTGCAGCTTTTACTTTCCCAAAAGATTCTGATTACTGTTGCTTGCAGGATTAATGATCAGGCGGGTTAAGAGTACGGAGTGCTTTGGATCCTAATCGTCGCGGTTCGAACCCTGCCTAGTTTTGGTGGTGAGCAGATTCACCGTGGTCCGGTTCAATCGCACGCTTGTCCGATTGTGGCCTAGTGTAGTTCACCAATCAAAATCAGGTATATGCTAGCTGTTATGAGTGACAAGTATGTCCTCGATGCTTTTCAAACACAAACACACACGGAAACCTATGTTCAATACTAAAAAAATGGCATTCAGTCGACCAGCTCGATAACCATTGACAGAGCTTCATGGTACCCAGAACTTGCTCTGGCTATGTTAAACTGCAACCGTTCTTCTTTTTTATGATCTAGTCATAACAAAAGACGCGACGAAAACGGTCTAGAAACAAATTATGCAATCTCTCAATTTTCAGACACCTGAAAAATGATTATGCGCGTAGAAATGGTACCCCGGTGACATTGAAAATGGTGAACTTACAATGCTATACGCCTCGTAAATGTGAACCGCCGTGACAAAACTGGACAGGGCACAGAGAAATGCTACTTCGTATTGTGTGCTCCAATCCAATGGAATGGCTGTACACCACCAGAATACGAAAACTGAGTAGATTATGACCAGTTGATTGAAAACCGGTGCTCGAGATTTGCACAACTGGGCTAGAATAAGTTTGCACTGTAAAACAAAACAGGATAGCGTAAAACGAAGAAATATTCAGTTAGCTGAAACAAGTGGTAGGCTGCATGTGTCAATGTCCTCCATTGGCATGTTCCAAAAAAACAACGCGGCAACGCGGAATGTATTGGTTCTACTTAGTTTTTTATCACAGGTACAACTTTAGCACGTCCAATCATTAGGCTAATGTCAAACCGATGCATAGGTCATTCCATAACCTGTAGAAAATTAAGCGCACAAATTATCAACCGGGAATTTATTGACCTATTGAGAGGAAATCGATTAGGACACCATAACAGTGATGCAAAAAATCATTGGGGACCCGGCAATGTTGCCTATTAACTACATCCGCACCAATTCATAATGATCGATATCGTAATCATGGATTTGTTTTCCGATCAACCGAGCACGGTTCACGCTGAATTTAAACAAACCAAACTCATCCACATACACTACACCAGCAAGATTAAAATATCACTACAAATGCGAGTCTACAGTACGTCTCTTATTCGGCACGCCTCCAAACTGGTCAGAAAAGACAAGAATAGCGAAGCGTGCGGTGGTAATTGAAGGCCTTCGTTTCTGAGCACTTAATTGGCGTAATTTGTGGATCGGTGTTGGATGCCAGTTATCCAGTGTGATGTGACAATATGCTACGATGAACTGATGTGTTTAAAACGCGAAAAATACCTCACATCGCACTGAGTAGGAATTTACGCGTATTCGACAAAAAATGGGGCGAGTTAAGTGTAAAGGAACATTGCAGGCTGTGGAATCCCACTCTTAACACACACAGACACACAATTAGAAGTGCATAACGAGTGTGCACTCCCACCAAAGATGTAAAACAAATCGTATACGCAAATATGCATGCATACGGGCACGGATGAAAGGGACAGAAAGCCGGTTTACTTACGCACACGTTAGATGCCACAGTTGCATAACAGTACATGAACAATCGGGGCTGGCGACTCAACACGTCAGACGGGGATAGAAATACCCAACACACTGAGCTTGCCAGCAAAATGAACAGCGGAAATGATGGTCGGAATGACTCGTACACTCCACGATTTCGGTGCCACGGTTGTGAAGCGGAACGTCCGGCGCGAATATTGTAGACAGTCATGGGGATATGTACAAATAACAAGGATCCTGAAACGGAAAGGCATGGGGAATGAAACAGCTGTGGATGAGGGAGAAATAGAGCTTAATGTAGATCATAAGTTTGTTCTTTATTGACAAATTTGGCGCTCAGTGGACGATTAACGTGCATGCACGATCAACAGTAGCCTAGAATCACAAAGCCCAAGTAGAATAAGTGTCGTGTTGAGCAGAGAGACCACAGAGCTGCTACCTCAAGATAGGTTCATGCTCGAAGACTGTGGCCTAAGACGATACGAACGGGTGCAGGTTATAGTAACAAGGATTCAAGTCATTCGCCCATGATATGTTGATATGGACTGTGCATCATGAAAAACGCGTTCAGAGCATCATTGATTTTCCCACTGGTTCACTGTCTAAACAACACTGGCAACCGTTAACGTAGCCAAGTGGGAGTCAAAAGGAAATCATGTGTGTGGACTCGTGCATTAAACAGCCGTATGAAATAGCGACGCGATTTTCTGTAGCAGGCATTAGTAGAGATACCACGTAATTGGACCGGACATAGATTGTGAAATATCATGCGTATGACTTATTCCTTAGAATTTATATTAAGGAAGTAGGTGCCACTCTGGTGACAAATAAGTTGTGGTTAGCTCCAATTAACATAAAAAGCGCAACTGAAA